TCACCTTTTTTGGAATGGGAATAAATATGAATTCTCTTCCAGTCAGTTGGCCAAGTAGTTGTCCTCCAGATTTCTTACATAAAAGTATGATTAATTATGTTGTTTATAAACCATAATTAAAATGCTTATGAAAACTCAACATGAATTTCTAATAAATTAGGGGTAAATGTAATATAATTCTAATAAAAATATCCTCATACATTAATAGAAAATCTGATATTAAAAAATTAAATGGAAAAATTAACATGAATTTTATTTACCTTCCATGGAGCAATGGGTGAGTTTGAACCCTTAACCTCTGAACACTTTACCACTATACAACCAGAACTCATTTTGATGGGAGTAGCTAAAAAAACAAACAAAAAACAACAACTGTATTTACCACAGGAATATATAATCTATTTAAAAGTATTAATAAAATCTTTTTAAGTTAATTTCAAACAGGAAGAATGTATATGAACTTAATTATGATACATATTTGTTCCTCCATTTTCTTCCTTGTTCTGCTTCTGGCTACTCTTTTCCATTCCCCCTCACCCTGTCTTCACTAGATGTAATGGCTCAATTAAAAAAATGTCTTAAATAGTAAGAAATACATTTCACATAACAAAAAGTATAAGAAAAAGAATTGAAAAAAAAAAAGAAAAAGAATTGATAGAATTCAAAGTTATGTTGTTATGTGCCCTCAAGTTACTTACAACTAAAAGCCACCCTGTGTACAACAGCCCTGCACCCTGCTCTATCCTGTGCCAACCTTTGTGCCATTCTGTGCCAACACACTCACTCCCATTACCCCAGTCACTGAATCAATTAGTCTCATCCAAGGTCTTCCTCTTTTGCGCTGTCCTTCCACCCTTCTAAACACGATGTCCCTCTTGAAGGACGGATCCCTGCTTGCAACATGCCCAAAATATATTAGCCAGAGCTTAAAAATCCTTGCCTCCAAGGAGCAGCCTGGTTTCACCCTCTCCAGATCGTACCTGTTTGTTCTCCTAGCAGTCCATGGGGGGTGAGTGTGTGTGTGTGTCAAACCCATTACAATCAATTTGATTCTGACTCTTAGCAACTCTGCAAGATAGAGTAGAACTGCCCTATAGGGTTTTTAAGGGTGTAAATCTTTATGGCAGTAGATTGCCACCTCTCTCTCCCACAGAACCGTAGCTGGTGTATTAGAACTACTGAGCTTTCAGCCAGTTAGTGCTTAACCACTGTATCACCAGGGATTCTTTAGATTAAAATAGAAAAGAGAAGAACAATAAAGTTAAAATGACGCCAAAGTACAGCTATCGGTCAAATGCAAGAAGAGGTACATTGTTCAAATAAATAGGGATTAAGAAAAAAGAGGGTTTGATTCAGGTTTTAGACAATGAACTGTGAAGTACTGTAAAGGCAATGTGTCCAGATGGAAAAGTACAGCTGGGCAGGAGATCAGAATTGGAGATTTGGATGAGTGATTTTTTTTAAATGAAGCAAGTTTAAACTGTGATATTGAACACATTGTCTGTCAGCATAAACGGCAGAAGTCAAGAGAGCCCATCACAGATGGATTACCCAACAAGCCACGCAAACACAGGCTTACTCGTGCTTCCTTACAAAACCGTCACCAACAATCCTGGGAACGATTACTTCATCCCTCTGTGCCACTGTGTGCCTTCCAGTCGAAACCCACTCACACTTTACCCTCCAGTTCGTCTTCGGAGGCTTTGAATCACACAGGAAAAAATTGCCTATCTTTCTCCCATAGAACACCTGATGGAGAGATTGTGAATTTGAAGAGTCTTGATTCTGTCAGAAGATGCAGTGGGGATGGGAAACAAACAGATGCCAGCCATACTTAATTAGAATCAAATACTTAAAAGCTGTTGTTATGTGTCATGGATTTGGCCACTACTAATATCTGACCTCCAGTGGATTTTCAGAGACTAAATCAAGTGGAGATTTCCTGTCAATATCCATGGCAGAAACAATCAAGAGATCAAAATATGTGTTGCACTGGGGGAAAAAAATCTGCTGCTAAGAACCTCTTTAAAGTGTTAAAGAGCAAGGATATAAATTTAAAGACTAAGGTGCTCCAAGCCCTGGCATTTTCCAACTCCAAAGTTAGACAATGAATAAGGAAGACTGAAAATGGATTCCTTTGAATTATGTTGTTGAAGAGGACTGAATATCCCATGGACTGCCAAAAGAACAAACACGTTTGTCTTGGAAGAAGGGCAACTAAAGTGCTCTTTAGAAGCAAGGCTGATGAAACTTTGTCTCACATCCTTTTCACATATATTCCTTGGGAAAAGATATGATGCTGGGAAAGGTGGAGGGGCAGAGAAAGAGAGGGAAATCCTCAACCAGATGGATTGATACAGTGACTCTAACAATGGGCTTGGGCATGTCAGAGGTCCTGAGGAGGGTTAAGGATAGGGCAAGATTCAGATCTGTTTTTCATAGGGTTGCTATGAGTCATAGTCAAATCGATGGCACCTAACTGGCAACAAAAACACATAGACTGAAGAGCCTGTTTCAAGCAGCAAAAGCAAAGGAGGGTGAGCTGTTTGGGGTTCTTCTAACAACACAGTATGCTACCAGAGGTTAAACAGAAATTTCAAACTAGAGTTATGAATGCAAGTGGTCAAAGTGGAGGCTAAAAGCTAAATAGGGGTTACATCATAAAAGAACTCTATGTGTTGTAAAGTTCATCAGGCAGGGAAGGGTCATGCTTATATCCAAGAAAGAACTAGTCTGGATGTAGCATATAATGTGGGCAAGACTACAGCCAGGTGAGTATCACTGGGGTCCAGGTGGAGGCAATTGCTGGCATGGAACAGATGGTGACAATTAGACCTAACTGTGATATTTGAGGAGCCTGAAGGCAAGAGAAAGCCCACAAGAAGTCTTGGAAATACTTAACAGTTCTAAATCAAGCTAGGAAAATGTCACATAAAATATCCACTATCCTATCTTGATCCTTCTAAGAATCTAGAACATCAGGTTCAAATTTTGAATTTTATCACCACTCTTTGGAGTTTAATGCTAGAACTTGGAGGCATAAAAGAGAAGGCTTGTGTCCTGGTCAAAACAGGACTTTGGGGTAACATTTGAGTCTTACCATTTCTATAGCTTTACATAAGTCACTTAACATACCTCAGTTTCCTTATTTGTAGGTTCAAGTAAGTAATGTCTACCTTAAGTTGTTATGAGGAGCAGAAATTATGTAACTGCAAGGCACATAGGAGGCTAACAAATGACATCTTTAAGGATCAGACGTGTATTCAGCCTCTGAAGCTGCCAGGGCCAAGCATCAAGGAAGCGTAGGGAACACAGTATCTCCCTTGGCCTTCATGGAACTTGAAGTGAAGTCAGTCCACAAGCAGATAAGCTACAAGGAGTGGCTGGCTTGGGCTCTCAGGATCTTCATTTTCTCTTGGAGGTTCAAGAAGGCCAATGATGAGGGAGCTCTGGTGGCCTAGAAGCAAAGAAGCTGCACTGCAAATGCCAAAGGTGCACAATTCGAATCTGCCAGATGCTCTGCTGGAGGAGGGCAATCTCCTCCTGTGCCTGTAGAGTTGGATTCAATGGTACGCAACAAGAAAAGGGGGTGGGGGTGGGGAGGAAGGCCAGTGATTCTCAACCAGGATGACTCTCAGGCGTCTGGGGAAGGCTTTAGGTGGTCACGAGGCCTGGGCATTCAGGGACAGAAACGTGCATCATTCTGTGAGGCACTCTCAGGGCAGCTCAGGAGAACCCCAAATTCCAAGAACACCTCTGTTGAGAAACAATGCACTGCTCTCATCGGAGAATTTGGGGTCCTGGATGGGGCGAGATTTTGGCAGTTCTCTCAGGAACAAGCACTCTGGGTGCTCCCGGGTGGACTGGGTTGTACGTGGGAGGAGGTGTTGGTTATGTGCTGTCGAGTTGACCCCGACTCATAGTGACCCTATGAACAAGGCTCTGAACCCTTCTCAATCCTGAGTCAACCTCACCGTTGCTGACACACCTGCCCCCACAGCCGCAGTCACTGTGTCATCCAGGGTCTTCCTCTCCTCTCCCTGTACCCTTCCAAGCATGATGTTTTTCTTTAAGGATAGATTCCTCCTGGCACCATGTCTGAAGTATGTGAGATGGAGCTTCAAAACCCTTACCTCCGGGGGTGGATTGGGAGGGGAGAAAAGAGCAGCAATGAATGAGTGGAAATCCAAAGTCTGTAAATTTTCATTATAATTAATAATAAATTTTTTTAATAAGGAAGATTTGTTTATTTAAACTTTTTTTTTTTATTATTTTGTGTGCGTGTACCGTCAAATCAGATCTGACTGGTACAGGAGGATATTGCTCCTCCTTCTCTGGCAGAGCATCTGGTGGATTTGAACCGTGTACCTCTGGGATTGCAGTGCAGTTTCTTGCCACTAGGCCACCAGAGCTCCCCTAAATTTTAAAAAATAAACATAAAAAAACCCTTACCTCCAAGGAGCAACCTGGTTTCACCCTAAGAGAGGTGAAACTCTAGAGTGAAACCTCCCCTTTTTTGTTCTCCTGGTCTGAAATTCCATACTTTTTTCCAGCACCACAACTCAAAAGCATCGATTCTTCTTCGGTCATTCTTAGTCATTGTCCAGCTCTCATATGCATGGCAAATAATGGAGAAGAGCATGGCCTGCTTCAGGCGCACCTTAGTCTCAAGACTGACATCATTGCTCTTCAGCATTCTGGAGCGGTCCCTGACAGATTTTCCCCATGCAACTCATCTTTTGATTTCCTGACTGCTGGCCTCAAGGGTGATGATTGTGGATCCGAGCAAGAGGAAATCATAAGCCAAACAGAATGGGCCACACTAGACTGACTTCTAGAGCCAGCAAGGCCACATGACAGCGGCCTGAATGAAAAGGCCCACAGCGACACCTAGCTCTCCTCGGCTTTCAGGGGCTGAGAGCCGGCCGAGCGGCCGGCCGGGGGCGGGGCCTGGGCGGGGCGGGGCCCCGACGTCGCGGGGTCGAAGGGCACGCGGCAGCATGGCGGCCTCCTCGCTGGGCTCGGCGTGGGGCTCAGCCTGGGGCCCGCTGCGGCTCCGCGTCCCTGGTGTGTGCCGCCGTCGGCCGCCCCATGATCTGTGCGTGCGCTCGCGGCGGCTGCCGGGCCTCTCGGTGTCGGGGCGCAGTGTAGCGGTGGCCAGCGGGCCGGGAGCATCGGGCACTGACCTCTACTGCCTGGAGCTGCTCCGGTGAGCGAGTGTGGGCTGCGGGCTGCAGGAGGTCGGGTTGCGCCGCTAGGTGTTGGCCTTGGTGCCGGGGTTTGGAGGGGTCAGCAAGGGGGTCCACCTGAGTGACAGAGGCGTGAGATTTATTTCTTTGCCCATGCCTGTCACCTCGCCTGAACCTTGATTTGAATTCAGTGAACGTTTTTGCATTTCCACATTGATGATTTTACTAGCAAGAGTCATTTTAATGACAGTTCTGTCAGGCATTATGTAGTTACCTACCATGTCATTTATTCTAATTATGATTGTGAAAAACAAATGTAAACATGCTACTTAGGGTTATAAGGTTTCAAGTCTTTAGTACAATGCCTGAAACATATTAAGGTCACAGTTGTTTGTTACATTACTTAATAAAGTAAGCAATTGAGGTTTGGAGAGACTTCGCCTAAGGGTCACTAGATGCTTCATGAAGTTGAAAGTTTGAGATTTAGCTACAGAGCAGTTGTAGCCCACATTTCCTTTTGTTACCCTTAAGTTATGAGGCATAAAGTTTCAAAGCCCGCAGACACAAATACTGGTGAGAAATACTAGAAGGTCTGAACTACCTTGGGTGGAATTGGACATGTAAATCCACTATTTCAAAGTTCCATTTTAGTGAAAAGTCCTGTAACATTCCTGTGTCATCAAGTCAATTCTGACTCAGCAAACGGCCCAGTGGGTTAACTCATAGGGTTTCCAAGGCTATGAATCTTGATTGAAGCAGTATGCCTCCTCTCTCCCCTCCCCAAACCTTTTGATTCTCAACCAGGTCCTGTAACCACGGTGCCTCTGTGTTTTGTTGCTAGTAGTGGATTGTTTGTAATGTTCCTCCCCATTTGTCTTCCAAATATTTATGGGGGTGAATAAAAAGAGAGCAATAGTAGAAATCAGGGCATTAAGTTTTGTAACAACTGCCCAAAGTTATTAATTTTTATGTATTTTAATCTTATTAAATTTTGATGTCACAGAATTCAGGTTACCAGAGTGTGTTTCCACTAGTGTCCTAAATCTCCTCTCTAGAGGGAATCATCTTCAATAGTTTCTTATGTCACCTTCCAGTGATAGGATGTTGATAGACTTACAATCATATATGTCTATTACTTTTTTTTTTAATATAGAAAGGGAGTTAAGTTTCCCCAAACAAGAGATTTATAAATGGCCAGATTTATCGTGTTGGAATTTGATTGAATTGGAAGATACTGGCTTGTTAGAAGCCAGGTACAATTATTGCCAATCTAAATCCAACAGGAGGAAGCTAGCCAATCCTATACTTTCTTCACACTCTCCAGTGTGCTTAGCTTAAATTCATCCTTGCAGTACCGATGGCCAGTCCATCTTGTCGAAGACTTTTTTTTTCCTCACTACCCAGAGACTGACCCCTTCTGATAACATGCCCAAAATATGCGAAATGAAGTCTCATTATCGTTAATTCTAAGGAGCCTTCTGGCTGCAGTTCTTCCAAGATAGATTTCTTTTTCTGGCACATCATAGTATATTCAGTGTTCATCTCCAGCACCACGATTCAAAAGCATCAATTCTTTGGTCTCCCTTGTTCATTATCCAAGTTTCACATGCACAGAAGTGACTGAAAATATCATAGCTTTGGACAGCTGCACCTTAGTCCTCAAAATTACATCCTTGCTCTTTATCACTTTAAAAAGATACTTTGCGACAGCTGTTGACTCTAGATATTTAAGTAAAGCCCGGGCTTTGCATACAGACCTGAACTGAGTTTCTTATTCTCAACTCCACTGCTTAGGAAAATGAAAATTCATTTGCCCACCTCATATTTCTACTCCCAATTTGTAACTGGATTCATAAATTAGGATTGAGGATTAATTGTGATGATGGCTATAAAACTTTCTCTAGCACATAGCCAGTGCTTGATAAAAGGGAGTTTTGCAAAGTAATATGAAACATGAAAGGCAGAGTCAAACTAAAGCTTCATTGAAAGGTTTGGCTTCTGAAATGCTTATGTGGTGCTGTTTTAGATGTGCATCTCATAAAACCCAGCGTTCAAATATTGGAAAAAATTTCAGGCCAGAGCTTCAAGTTAGCCAGTTTGGCTCATCTAGGAAACTAGTAAGGTTTAGTTCCTGGAAAAATCTCAAACTTTATTTACATAGGCTTCTTGAAGTTTGTTTTGTGAAGGGTAAACTAGGAGAGCGACCTTAGGCTTTGGAATTAAATCTGAGGTAAGGAGGTGATGCTGTCTGGGACTGCGTCTGGTGTTCACCAGCCTCACTGGGGCCCACACTTCTTGTGTCTGATGGTGCAGCAGTCTTGACATCTGATGTATTCATTGTTCAGTATCGGCTCCCTTTTACTCCTAGACTGAAGTCTGTGTCTGTCTACAAGATCCTAGCATGTTGCATAGCTGATGCCAGGAACATATTAGGATGAATCAACAAATGAAAGGTAGTTGGTTGCTATTCCTAAATGCTAAATCGTTGCTGATTTAGCCTTGAGTTATACACCCCCACCATATGTTTTTTTGTTGTTTTGTGCCATCAAGCCACTTGCAACTCATAGCGACTCTATGTACAACAGCCCTAAACTCTGCTCTATCCTGTACCTATCTCACTGTCTCTGACACATCCATCCAGATTACCCCAGTCACTGAATCAGTCTACCTCATAGAGGGTCTTTCCCTCTTGCACCGTCCCTCCACCCTCCCAAGCATGATGTCCCTCTCCAAGGACTAGGCTCTCCTTACAACATATCCAGAGTATGTCAGACAAAGCCCTAGAATCCTTGATTCCAAAGAGCAGCCTGGTTTAACCCTCTCCAGGAAGAATCTGTTGTTTTCTTGGCAGTCCAGGGTACATTCAATACTCTTCTCCAGCACCACAGCTCAAAGGCATCAATTTTCCTTCTATCCTCCTTAGTCACTGTCCAACTTTCTGATGCATAACAAGCGATTGCAAAGACTATGGCCTGTATCAGATGTACCTTAGCCTCCAGAGTGACACCATTGCTCTTCAGTACTTGGTAGACATCCCTAACAGCAGACTTTCCAATCGCAATATGTCTTTTAATTTCCTGGCTGCTGGTGCCAAGAGTGTTGACTGTGGAGCCAAGCATACTAAAGTTGTTAACAGTCTCAGTCTCTTCACCATCCATCCTGATGCTGCCAGTTGTTCCAGTGGTGAGAATCTTTGTCTTCTTGATATTGAGCCTCAATCCATACTGGAGGCTGCAGTCCTTGACCCTCTACAGCAAGCGTTTCAGGTTCGCCTCAGTTTCAGCAAGCAGGGTTGTGTCATCTGCATAACGCAGATTGTTGATTGATTGTCCACCAATCCTGATGCCACATTTCTCCTCATAGAGCCCAGCCTCTGGGATAATCTGCTCTGCATACAGGTTGAAAAGGTATGGAGGTAGGACACGTCCCTGGCGTACACCCCTCTCAGTTATACACACAGACACACACACCCCCCCCCATATATATTATGACTAATGTCTCAGAGGCAGCTCAGTGACTAATGTACACTCATGTCTCAAAGGGAACTTTGGTGATGTAGTCTACAGGGAGTTGCACTGATAACCCAAGAACCCCACTGCCCTGGTGGTTGGAATTCACCAGCAACTCCTCAGAAGAAAGATGGTCAATCTCCTCCTGTTCAGTTGTTGTTGTTGTGTACCATAGAGTCAAAATCAACCCATAGCAGACCTTTCAGCGGGTTTTCAGAGACAGTTAATCACAGGGGAAGAGCTTGCCCATCTTTCTCCTGTTGGAGCTGCTGGTGGCCTCGAACTACATGCCGTTAAGATTGCAGTGCAGCTTCTTGTTATTGGGCCACCAGAGCCTGTTCATTTACAACCTTGGAATTCCAGTTGGAGGGTTGGTTGGTTCTGACTTGATGACAATGAGGGGTTTTTATTGTGATATTACTCTCCAGACTCTCAAGTAACTGGATCTCAGCCACTCAGAACATCCCTAGAAGCTCACATTCCAATAATTGTTATTTATAATAGTGAAATTCAGTGATGAAGAAATAGTTAAATAATCAGTATATCCAGTTAAGGTAGAGAAGTGGGCAGCATCTTTTAGGAAACTCTTAACAGTTTTGAAAAGTTAACAGAGCAAACCCTTAAATGTGTAAATACTTCATTTTACAAATTTGCTGAAGTCCTGTTATTTCATTCTTTTTTCATTTTCCAATGAGCAGTTTGGGTTAGCAGTGCAGTTTATTATAGGACTACCCCACCAGAGATGAACCGTCGTCTTCTTTATAATTTATAGCTTCTGCAACCCTGAGTTAGAACCAGTTCCACAGCAGTTAGTTAACGGAGTATGAAATACTTCAAATATCAGCTATTTGTAGGAAAATGAAGTAATCAAACCTTATTTTGTAAATGAGAAAAGACATGGCTTTTTACAATCCTTTTTTGCAGTAACTGCTTTCATAATAAAGATTAAAATTATAATTTTTATTTCCATTCAGTACTTATTTTCTTAGTGTAAAATTTTAATTTTCTTGCAGTATTTACCTAGTATTCCATATTATTTTTCAAATACTTTAAACACTTTTTTTGAAACTCAGAGTTTTGATAGTAAAATGAAACTTTCAAATATTTGTATTACTTAAAAGCATAAACTATATACCTGTTTGCTATACCTTTTTGAACAACCATTTTATAGGTTTTTAAAATCTCTTCTGGTAAGACCTTTTTAGAAGAACTGTTCTGATACTGTTCATGTGAAAGTTGAGGGGTGTTGTCAAGGAAGTGTGGATAAAAGGGGAATACATTTTGTTAGGCTCCTGGCAAAATAAAAGCCAGTTCAAAATTGGGAGTAAACTATGAAATGAGTTCCAGATGGGACCCAATTTATATTGAATGCTATTTTACAGGAAATAATATTATAAGATTTCAGTGCATAGTCTTTTGGGAGTTGTGCAGCTAACCCGAAGGTGGTGCCTCTGGAGGTTCAAATCTAAATCTCCTCCCTGCAGTTTATAGTCTCAGAAATACTGTGGAAGAACAGCTGTGAGTTCAGAACCATTGCAACCACAATGCGTTAGGTAGGCAGTCTAGTAAGTACTTTATCCTTACCTATCCTTTGGAGAAGGAGAAGAATACAGTCTCCATTTTTTAAACTTCCCATTTTTAAGTACTTTCAGATTTATATAAAAATTGCAGAAATTGAATACAGGGCTCCTATAAACTCTACCCAGATCCCCTCATTATTAACTTTTCCTATCCATTTATGAGTAAGTTGGAGATATGCTGGCCCTTTACCCCCTGTACTTTGAAGAATCTCCCTCATTTTGACTTTATCTGCTGTTTCCTGATGATTTATGCTTTGGGTGCAGGTAAAACCAAAATGAGGGAGATGATACAAATCTCCAGCTTCACTCTCAAATGAATTGGAATAGTTAAAAATGTTGATACTGTGGCACACATACACACATACACACCTCACACACAGACACACAAGCTACTGTAGCTTTAGCTATTCAGAAGTGTGGGTTAACCTGAAAACCTATTTAAACTGTTTTCTAGGATTTTTTTTTCTACTTTTGCTGTTGTGGTTGCCATTGAGTCACCCTTGACTTATGGTGACCCCGTGCACAACAGAACAAAATGCTTCCTGGTCTTCTGCGGTCTCCTTGATTGGTTATGGATCAGACTGTTGTTTTCATTGGATTATTTTTAAGTATAGATTGCCAGGCTTTACTTCTTTCTTGGTCTACTTATATAACTTATTTAGATTCTTACCAAAATCAAAGTGATTGTCAAACAATTAAAATGATAGGCACTATTTAAGTTAAAAAATATGAAGTTGAGGCTATCTGTTTTAACTGGTTAGGAATTAGGGGCAGATAGATTTTCATAGTGGTAGGGAAAAAGGAATAAAATAAAATATTTCAATACTATTTTGAATGGAATCCTCAACTTTAGTTAATTTTGGTCAGTATTTTGTGTACATGTGGAAAGTGGAAAATAACCATTCTTTTATTGTTGTCTATTTATTGCAGAAAACGAGATTATGAAGGCTATTTATGCTCCCTGCTGCTCCCTGCAGAATCCCGGCGTGCTGCGTGTGCATTGAGGGCCTTCAATGTGGAACTGGCTCAGGCTGGTATTAAAATACCTCAATATATTATTTGTGGAGTGGTAAACAGTAAAGAAAGAAGTATAGTTGTAATTTATAGACTAGATTTTTTAAAACATTTTTTTATTATTTTACATTGGTTTGCATACAGACCTTCTATACATTGTGTTTCACACTACTCTCCACTCACATTGTGTTTCATACAGTCGCTCTCATGATGTTTTATAAAATCTGTCGCCATTGAATCATGCCCACCATTACCCTATCTTTCTAGATCCCCGCCATAACTTTCTCATTTCCTTTACCCCTCTTCCCTCCCCCCACCAAATTGTGTGACACTCTGAATTCTTCCCTGCCCACTTTCACACCTCTGTTCCCATCCTTTCCCACCTTGGATCCCCATAAACATTTTACTAAAACTGTTTTTCCAATAATGGTCCTATGCAGTATTTGTCCTTATGAGACTGGATTAATCCACTCAGCATAATGCCCTCCTGTCTCTCCCCAAGTTATGTAATGGTTTTCAAAGTTGTTGCTCCTGAGTGCTGTGTAGTATTCCATTATGTGGGTATACCAGAATTTCTCAATCCATTCGACTGTGGTTGGACATTTGAGCTGTTTCCGTGTTCTTGCGATGGTGAATAATGTTGCTATGAACATTAGTGTATAAATCTCTGTTTGTGTCTCAGTTCTTAGTTCCTTAGTTTATATTCCTGGGAGTGAAATAGCTGAGTCATACAGACAGCATTTCTATGTTCAGCTTTTTGAGGACATGCTAGACTGCCTTCCTGAGTGGTTATACCATTCAGCAATCCCACCAATAGTGTATGAGAGTTCCTATCTCTTTGCATTCTCTCCAGCATTTATTGCTTAGACTTTACCACTGGTACTGGGTGAGATGGTATTTCATTGTGCTTTTAGTTTGCATCTCTCTTATTGCCAGTGATTTTTAGCATTTCTTCATGTGTCTGTTGGCCATCTGAAATCTTCCTCTGTGAAAAGTTTTCCACATCTCTTGCCCATTTTGTAATTAAGTTATCAGTCTTTTTCTTGTGAAAGGGCTCTGTAGGATTATGTAAACTTTTGTTATGAGGCCCTTTTTTGAGATGGTATTGCTAAATGTTTTTTCCCAGTCAGTAGGTTTTATTTTCATCCTGTTGGAAAAAATTTTTGATGTGCACAGGGATTTAATCTTGAGAAGGTCCCATTCATCAGTTTTATCCTCTCCTTGCTGTGTATTTCTGGCTGTATTTGTCATCTTCATATCATAGGTGAGGCCTTCTAAGTTTGATCCCTGTTTGTCTCATGATGTTTATGGTTTTGGGCTTTTCGCATGGGTCTTTGATCCCTCTTGAGTTGATTTTTCTTTATGGTGAGAGAGGTGGATCCTGTTTCAGCTTTCTGAAGTTAGCTGTCCAGTTTTGCCAGCACTGTTTGTTGAAAAGCTTGTCATTTCCCCATTTGATAGGTTTAATTTCTTTGTTGAGTATTAAGTGACCATAAACAGGTTCATTTTTGGGTTCTCTATTCTGTTCCATTGATCTATGTGCCTGTCCTTGTCATACTAGTACTATGCTACTTTGGTTATTACAGCTATATATAAGTATTGAGATCAAGGAGTGCTATGCCTCCCACTTTATTCTTGTCTTTCAGAATGTTTTGCTTATTAGGGATCTCTTTCCTCTCTAAAATAAACTTGCCAGTTGCCTTTTCTGTCACTTTAAAAAATGAAGTAAGGAAAAAAAAAGTAATAAAAACGAAGTTAGTATCTGTATTGGAATTGCATTAAACATGGAGATTACTTATGGTAGGATTTTAATTTTCACTGTATTGAGTCTTCCTATGCATGAACAGGGAACATTTTTCCATTTAAATTTCTCAAGTTTGTGGTTGGAGAACACTTGATCATGCTTATGTGAAACCTATGCTTGAACCAGGAGACAGTCGTCAGAACAGAGCAAGGAAACACTGCATGGTTCAAAATTGGGAAGGGCGTACTCCAGGGATGTGTCCTATCTCCATACTTATTCAATCTATATGCAGAACAGATTATCCGGGAGGCTGGGCTCTATGAGGAGAAATGTGACATCAGGATTGGAGGAAGACTAATCAATAATCTGTGTTACGCAGATGGCACAACATTGTCTACTGAAACTGAGAAGGACTTGAAGTACTTGCGTCAGAAGTTCAAGGACTGCAACCTTCAATATGGATTGAAGCTCAACATCAAGAAAACATCAAGAAAAAGATTCTCACCACTGGGCCAAATGACAGCATTATGATAGTTAGTGAAGAGATTAAGATTGTTAACAGTTTTAGTTTGCTTGTCTCCATAATCAACACTCTTGGTACCAGCAGCCAGGAAATTAATTGCTTTGGGAAAGTCTGCTGTCAGAGACCTCTCCAGATTACTGAAGAGCAACAGTGTCAGTCTGGAGACTGAGGTTTGCCTGATCCATTTACTTGCTATGCGTCAGAAAGCTGGACAATGACTAGGGGTGATAGAAAAAGAATTGATGCCTTTGAGCTGTGGTGCTGGAGAAGAGTTTTGAATATATCATAGACTGCTAGGAGAACAAACAGGTTCATCCTAGAAAGGGTGAGACTAGGCAGCTTGGAGGCAAGGATTCTGGAGCTTCATCTGATATACTTTGGATATGATACTAGGACAGTCCTTGGAGAAGAATGTCATGGAGGGTGGAGAGACAGTGCAAGAGAGGAAGACCCTCAATTAGATGGATTAATTCAGTGACTGGGGTAATAGAGGAGGGGTGTCAGACAATAAGATTGGCACAGGACAGAGCCAACTTTAGGGCTGTTGTACATAGAGTAACTATTAGTCATAGGCAACTCAATGGCACATTAACAACAACATTGCTTTCTTATTTTTCTTCTCTGTTTTCTTTGTTACTGGAGAAGAATCCCACAAACTTGAGTATATTGATCTTGTTATCCTGCCACTCTACTAAATTGGTCTACTAGCTCTAACAGGTTTTTGGTTTTTTTATTGAGTCCTTGAGGTTTTCTGTGTACACTATCATATCATCTGCATATTATGACAGTTTCACCATTTGTTTGCTGATGTAGATGCCTCTTACTTCCTTCTCTTGTCATATTGCCCTAGCATGTACTTCCAATACAATATTGAATAGGAGTGGTGATAGTAGGCATCCTTGTCTGGTCTCTGTTTGCAAGGAGAATGCTTTTTAGACTAGATGCCTTTAAAATCTCTGCTGGTAATTTATTTCTCCTGCTTACTATTTAGACTGAGTAGTTAAACTTCAAAAATAAAACTGGCTGATGAACTTTATGTTTCTGGAAATTTTAAATTTTCTAAGAACTAAAGCTGTAATTCACATTGCATATTTGTTTAATTTTTCATATTTTTTCTTAATCAAATAAATATTGCTGCTAATCTTTGCAAACAGTTTTATAATTCTTCATTATATAGCAAACTTTTCATAGTGAGATTTTAGCTTTAACATTAAGTAGGATATGGAAACAATTATAGCAAACTCAGAACTTGAAGCATAATGAGGGAGTTTTTCTTTTGCTTTTCAAGGAGAGGAGCAAAT